TTAACAACATTAGGTGTAACACACAACCCTAATATACAAAACTGATAAGAAAAAACTAAGAAACATAGTTATTTCAACAAAAAAACATCAAATTTGAAATGTAACGCAGGGAATTCTGGGAATGTCAATTTACGGTTATTCACTGAAAAATTATACAGTCTCTTTCACTTCCAAAAACGGTATACTACCGTAAAATTACATGTAATGTCCAATACCGTTTTTCACCGTATATAGCAGGGGAATTTACCGTTAACCATTTAACAGGTTTTTACTGTAGCATTTTTACAGTATTTTACCATTAAATTCACAGTCATTTTTTACAGTGTATGTCTGTGATAAATGAAGACTTGATAAAATGTTGCAAAGTTCACTGATTGAGGGACAATCTTAATTAGAGTAAAAATAATATTCTCACCGTAAATGCTCAAATGGTTACTCTGTTTTGATTATCAAACGCAACAAACAATTTTATGCTGCATTTTCATATTCTCAGATTGATGTCTGTCTGCAACAAGAGTAAAGCAAAAGTAGCAGTAGCAAAAATAAATTACGAAGACATGATAAAATGTTGCATTTATACTGATAAAACATCTAATTGTTAAACTGAGGGACAATTGCTATTTGTGCGAAAATGTATATAAATAATTTTCACACAATAAATATTAATTGGTTTTTAAATGGTTTATAATCACTTTACTCTGGTTTTTTTTTATATATAAAATCCTCGTAAACTATTGATTTGTTGCATTTATATATTTTAAGATTGAAAGTATGTGACAAGGGTAAACCAAAAATAGAACCAAAAATAAACAAAGGCTTGATAAGATGTTTTTAAAATTCTAATGTGACCTTCATATAATAATAAAAATCAACCGCTGAATGTTTAACCTGTATATGTACTTGCTGTTAGTACATATTGCACTTTAAATGAGGCTTTACCTTTTTGAGCATGATGATTCCCTCCTGATTGTGCTCGTTGGTGGTGATATCAAACATGGCTCCTCCATCTCCAGGGACGATGTTGTATTCCACCTCTGCGTTCTTTCCAGTGTCCAGATCATGAGCTTTGATTCGGCCAATCGCTGACCCAACTGCTGATGACTCCGGTACACGCAGGTGGAAGATGCCTGTAGAATCAATGAGTGTTTTGAAGCACATGTGACTAGTGTTGGGGAAGCTGCTTTAATAGTTTTGTGGCATTTTTTCTGTTTTAGTTATATTTGGAATAACATGCACCCATGAAATGTTCACATTAAAGGAATAGTTCACCCAAACAAGAAAATTTGCTGAAATTTTACTCACTTTCAGGCAGGGGCGTAGATTACACGGGGGACGTGTCCCCCCCACTTTTAATATCACGTAAATTCGTCCCCCGCACTTTTTCGGAAGTGTGTTCGCATAGAGGTTTTCAAGAGCCGGCGTGAATAAATATAGATTTAAATTCAAAGAGACATGATAGTCTGTGCATGATCTGATGCTTTATTCGGACCCAGAATAAGGCGAGATGAACATCGCGGAGCGCTAAACACGCAGTGTATGTTTCATTCATACTCGAAGCCGGAGGATGCTCTCGCGCAGAAAGTCGTACGAGGAAATTCCTAATATGGACAAGCTATCGCTGTATGAAAACAGTTAAAACAGTTGTTTTCAAAAGTATATGAACAATGCAGTGCTAATTGACATAGCATTTATTACAGTATTGAAACTATTCTGCCTTATGTGATTAAAAAAAAGTGTTTGTAGTATAAAAGCAAATCATTATTATTGGTTATTGTCCTGCAGTTATCTGATTTCTAAGTCAATTAAAAGCTAGAAATTAGAGAACAATTAAAGTTGCCTATACACCAGTCAAAAGTTTTTGAACAGTAAGATTTTTAATGTTTTTTAAAGAAGTCTCTTCTGTTCACCAAGCCTGCATTTATTTGATCCAAAGTACAGCAAAACTGTACAAAATATTTTTACTAGGCTATTTCAAATAACTGTTTT